CATATTATTAACCATTTGAGCACGAGCCGTCGATAGATCGACTCCCTATTTATGTGTATAAAGAGCGGAGCGTAGGAATACCGACTATTTCGCTGTTTGATTATAAATATTAGGTATCGACCTGTACGGTCTTTCTTTAGCGCTCGCACGTATAACGTTTTAATAAGTTAGTAATAAAATTTATAAATAACTATTTAAAATTATTTTGTTGTGAATTTAGCATTGATTTTTGTATTTTTATTAACTTAAATTTGTTATAAGGATTTTTTTCCAATAAACTTTAGCAATTTTGGCTTCTGCAAAATCTGTATATAAAAATGAATTGCTGTTCGTTAGTCTCGCTAAAACTCGAGAACGGCTGGACCGATTTGGCTAATTTTGGTCTTGAATTATTTGTGGAAGTCCAGAGAAGGTTTAAAAGGTAGAGAAATATCAAAATGCTCGGCATTAAATAAAAATAACAATTTTTGTTTTTCCTTTGATGTTGTTTGTTTTAAGTTTATTTTATACAAAAGTTTAGGTCTTTTATTTATCGATTGAGGCACTACGAAGTCTGCCGGGTCAGCTAGTATATAATATATAAATAAAGTCAGCACTAAAAGGGTTAAGAATAACACCATAATCATCCACATACACCAAGTAACACCAAGGAAACTGTACAGTATTCGAAACATCGGAAACAATTAATATAAATATTGAAAAAAAAAAAAAACGAAATCAAATCGTAATAGTAGTTTTAATCATGTCTACGACTCGCTAATAACGATTAAAATAATTGAATGTATATTCTTACTGTGATTATTATTACCCTATATTACGATTTCTGTGGTGTATGGTCATAAAGATCCTTCCTGAACACATATTTGCAGGAATCACATGTTTTGAAGAAATTCTTGAATATAAAATCATTTAAAAAAAATCGTCCATATCCATGAAATTAAAATAAAAAATTAAATTTTTTAAGACAAAAAATGGCCTCTTTTTGGTTAACTACTTTATTCATTCTTTGAAAACACAATACAAATTTCACCTGATTTGATCCAATTAATCAGTCGGTAGCTTATTTAAAATGATTTAAGCAGAACAAAAGGAAATTTCAAATGATTTTTTTTATCAAAGTGCCAATAAATGATTGTAAACTTTCCTGAATTCTTGAATTGTCTTAATATTCCTTTTACCTTGTATGTTACGGTATTCATGATACAAATTAGACGTAGACGTATTTCAGTAGGGAGTACACGTTCTTCAAACAAATACATAATGTGTAATATACTTTGAACTTTTATTACAGAGATGTGTAACTCGTTCAATTTCTAACAATACCTGGAACTACCTACCTGTAAGCCTGGACTAGTAAGTACCATTCTCGCGACAGCTGACGTAGAGTCAACGACTATCGTCTCTACGTCTCCGTGGGCTGAGCACCCTTGGGGAGAGCTGCACGTTTGATTATAGTCCGCGGAATCTATCCTTTTTATCGCTGGGGAATCCTTTTACGGATACTGGGTCGAGGGGGGGTAGCCAACCGGACTATGTCGGACTCCGGCGTCCCCAGAGAAGAAGAGGGCGAAGAGGAAGACCGAGTTCCTCCTCTTCTTTCAATTCCTCCCAGGAAACTACGCCTTGAGGAAGGCGCGCGAGGGGGAGCGCAGCGTGAGCCACGCAAGATCCACCCCACCAAATCGACTACCGGCTAAGCCCCATCGTGCTCCACTAAATCGCCTAAATGTAACTTACGGTACCGCGTAGTGGGCGGCAAAAGTCCACCTTTGCAGTTACCCGTCCTGATGATAGGACGGGGCTTCATCCCCGGGAAAATCTCTAAGGACGTCGTCTCTGGAGACACTCTGAGCATAGTGCACAGGGGCCACCATGCGCTGTATTACCACCGGACCGACAGTTGCGCATCGGGCACTCTGCCTTCTGCGCTAAGGAACTGCAGAGCGATCCCAATCCCTGTCATACTCCTCCATGTATCTTATTAGGAAGTTCGCCTCTAGTCCGAGAAGAAAAAAGTACCACCACCCTGTCTACATGTGCCGTGAAGCTGTCATGCCTTTCAGTTTGATACTTAATTGTACTGTGATTAACTTTTACTGGTGGTAGGACCTTTTGTGAGTCCGCGCGGGTAGGTACCACCACCCTACCTATTTCTGCTGTGAAGCACTAATGCGTTTCGGTTTGAAGGGTCGGGCAGCCGCTGTGGCTATACTTGAGACCTTAGAACTTATCTCCAGGTGGGTGGCCCATTTACGTCGTAGATGTCTATGGCCTCCAGTAACCACTTAACACTAGGTGGGCTGTTAGTTCGTCCACCAATATAAGCAATAAATAAAAAATAGATACAATTCAGACTTCGACTTCATATCTGAAGTTGTGTAGTGGCATCGACGTTTTCTCGACTCTTTTCTCCGGTAACCGCTCACAGCATGCGCGCCGTAAATTCCACTATTCACCTAGAAAAATAAAAAAATCTCTTAAATATTCCAGATAAAAGTGATTTGAAAAAGGCTTGCACTATAATAATATTAATCAAAACGCATTATTTGATATTTAAAGAAAAATAGAGACTTATTAAATATAGCGCCATTTCAAACGTTGTAAGAAAACGTATTAGATTAATTTCGATTTACAAATTCATTTATAACGTATTATTTTCGTATCAAAGGTACGGTCAAATTCTTCAGTAAAATCAAGACAGACAGTAAATTGAACTGCCAAAGAATAAAATTGAAATTCAGTGAACTTTAGAATCGATGACGTCTGTTCCAGTATTTTTATAACGCCCAAGTCATTACGGCGTTCCTTCAGTTCTCCTTCTATGATCCCAAAAGTTGAGAGAGTTTTCAATTTAACAAACAAAAAAAAACAAAAAAAATACCTTTAATATTTGTCAGTCAGACTGACAGTCACTGTATAATAAAACTTACGACCTATGTGTTAATGTAGATAGCGCCGCTCGTGACGTTATTGAGCTCATTTAACTACAGTACACGACCTAATTAATCTGTTCAACCTGATATATTCAAGATTTTGCATAATAATACTAACTAAAATTTAGCCAAACAACGTTTTCGCAACTATATATAATTTATGACACAAATTCCAGACAAGATAATTTTTTTTGCTCCAATGAATCTTAACTATATCGCGAACGAATTGTTTGTGATAGCTCATTTAAATAATCGATTGTCGAATCGACTATTTCTTAATGAAGCGTCCCTAAAAAAACAGTATTCTACAATAAATCTGAATGATATTTTTCATAATGATACCTAAACGATATGTAAAGTGAACTCGTTAGATTAATTGCTAACGATGGCCGAAGACCGCCAGGGTCCATCAATTCGCTTAAGCCTTTGACTGCCATGTAGGTCACCGGTGCCCTACGCGGCCCACTGAATTAATTATGTCGATTTCTGGTAATGGATATGGAATTTGTACTAAGGCGCCGGAATATGTAATAACTAGTCTATGGGAAAGACGAATTTTTTTTATTGCCCTTGCAGGTAGACGAACATACGGCCCACCGGATGGTGAGTGGTTACCATCGCCCATGGACTTCAGCAATGCCAGGGGCAGAGCCAAGCCGCTGCCTACCGCTTAATACTCTCCACAAGCTTCGTTTGAAGAAAGACATGCCATAGAGCTCGGGAAACACCGTGGAGGGGAGCTCATTCCATAGCCATGGGGTACTGAGAAAGAAACTATTTCTAAGAGATTTAAAAGATTAAAAGAAAAAAAAATAATAGGAGCCAAGGTTAAGCAGGTGCTTAGTAACAGAAATGGACATAATTACTTCAGTGTGCCACGTAGGCATCGGTAACAAACATGGCAGTCAAAGGGTTTATGATGACTTCATGACGTCAGACACTGACAAATGGAATAGTATCAAACTGCAAACCAGTTAAGCCATACATACCTATAAATTAGTACTTGAGCTATTTTTAGAAGAAGACATGCTAGCTGTTGGGGTAACACCTAATAAGGCAGTCCAATGCCAATATTTTAGGTTCATAGAATCTCTGTAACCATTGTAGAATTAGAAGAAGAAACTTTAGAAGAAGACATGCTAGTCGTTGGGGTAACACCGAATCAGGCAGTCCAATGCCGATATTTTAGGTACATAGAATCTGTGTAACCATTATAGAAGGTAAGTAAGTGGTTATAGGAGATGTGAAATTTTCCCTGGTACCAAGAAGTGCAATGGCGTTATCTGTATTAGTTCCTCAGGAACTTCAAGTCACCGAAGACGCAATGACTACAGGCAATTTAGGACATTTTTGTCGATCTCTGTTTTAAAAATCTTAATGAGCGCTTCTCTATGTTTTCGGAAGCTTTGATCCAAGCGCGATACACTCATATTTTACTTCATAGAAGAACTTATTTTGGGCACTTTCAATATTAATTGTTCCAAATCTTTAATAATGGCCTTTTAATAAATCTAATTTAAATTACACTTCACTCGTCACGCAATATAACTAATCATTATAACTTGATTACGCACTAAAATCATGTCTAGTAATATGCATTAATTTGTCTGGCAATATATTTTAACGTCAATTTCTTCGGTACTGCTGGGTAATGTTGCTGATATTAACCTTTTTTTTGGTATCGATGGGGAATCCCAGTTTTTACGGACACCCTGCCGACGGGGGTCGGACCGAGTTATGTTGGACTCCGCGCCTCCAGTGCAAAAAGAGTGAGAGGTCGCGAACCGAGGTCCGTGTCCTCCCCCAATTAGTCATAGGAGACTACGTCTTTAGAAAGGCGCGCTGGGCTAAGCTCGGCACTCGTCAAACCCGCCCAGCTTAACGACTACCGACTAGACCCCAACGAGCTCCTCCACTCCGGCTGGGCGGGTACCGCCAGGCACCGCCATGTGCGCACCATGGTGCTGATATTAGCCTTCATCTGTCTTTCTATGCGTTCATTTATATCACTCTACCTACATTCACCTCTCTACCTCTACCAAGGTTAATCTTAGTTTTTTTGTACAGGCTGCTGAAAGCGGAAATGTCGATGACTTCATGCGATTGTACCTCAGTGAGCCTTCTCGTCTTGCTGTGCGCGATGGAAGGGGTCGTACAGCTGCACATCAAGCCTCTGCTCGAAACAACACTAATATATTGCATTTCATCAATAACTACGCTGGAGGTTAGTCTAGTTTCGACCGATTTGTTATCATATCATTCATTGCATATAAACTGATAATCTATACTAATATCTACAGTGGTTTTACGGATGTTCCGTTATAACTACTGAACCATGCATCCGATTGACTTGAAACTTGGTATCCATGTAGAAAGTACTTAATGGATACCTAGGCTAATATTTATATAAGTGTTGGAGTCCCTACACCAATTGCAGGGGCGTTAACTATGAGAATCTTTGTGGGGGTGAGAAATAATAATGTTAATTTTAAATGCTCAGCGAAGCGGACGAGTACAGCTAATTGGCTTATAATGCGTGATGGTAATTGGGATAACCCAACTTTTGAAGACACGGATAAATCACAAATATCTTGACAAATTATTAGAAAAAAATCTCAGAGTTTTATCTCATTTATTTTGTATTCTGTTACTTAGCTTCGTCATTGAATAGTTTTTATAAAATTAAATAGCTTTTTTCTAATTTAAATAAGATCGTCACTTCGCCTCGGTCACATTAAGGGAGAATTGAAAACCGATGTAACTGAGCTTGGCTTATTGGCGATGCAAACCGAGAACTTAATTCACAGTGCCCTGAATTCAAAGAAAATTAAATGAATAAAATTATCGATACTGTTTATGAAAATGCTTCTTTCGGTTTGAGTTTTATTTGACAATTCTATTATAGGCTGTTTGTTACGTTGTTGGTTACAAATCTTATAAAAGTATTTTTCGTTAATATTTACGATTGACTTCCAAAGTGAAGGAATAGCATCGTGTAATAAACATAATACCCGCAAAAAAATAATTTGCGTAATTACTGATGGTAGGACCTCTTGTGAGTCCGCGCGGGTAGGTACCACCAGCCCGCCTACTTCTGCCGTGAAGCAGTAATGCGTTTCGGTTTGAAGGGTGGGGCAGCCGTTGTAACTATACTGAGACCTGTGAACTCATATCCCAAGGTGGGTGGTGGCATTTAAGTTGTAGATGTCTATGAACCGGTAACCAATTAACACGAGGTGGGCTGTGAGATGTCCACCCACATATGCAATAAAAAAATTACATGTCTATTTTTAAGTTTGATAACAAGGTCATGTACAGAATCGACAAAAAATGCAACTTATCTTAATCTAGCGTCAATTCGTCACGCAGAATCAAACCGACTGCAATGTCATATCAATCTTCAATATTTCGTCTCAATTGCTGACAATCTCACGCCTTTCTTAGTGTTAGTGTTTTTGTTAATCTAATTAAATTTTAAAATCTTAAAATATATTTTTTTACCTATTCTAGTAACCTAGATTCACCGAGCTAGTAGGTGAGCTCACGGGGCTCAAAGCGCAAGTGTTGCTAACACTAGGCCTAGCAAGAGCGGTGCTTCGCAGAATCTACCATCGGATCGGAAACGCGAACCACTGAGAAGATCTGGCGAGAAACTCAGTGGGCTGTGTCTATGGGTTAATTTACTCGTCGAGCCCTTCGTCGCAAGCGACGGGTTCGGCGAGGGCGGTGACCGGTGCTTGAGGTACCTAAAAGCACCGTTATTGGATCGAGAGGATCCGTAATGACGTGTTTAGGGCGACCTCGACTGTTTACCATTCGGTCCACAGGATCGGGTATGTAATTACCGGTGGCCACGACAACAGAGTTTTCATGTCGTGCCGCCTTCTCAAAGTGACACAATGATGCTGACTGTAGATACTTACTGGCTGAGTCAAGCTCCAAATCATCATGGAGATCCAAATTCCTTAAGAACCATGGTGCTCCGACAGCTATCCTGCAAAAACGGGATTGAATGACTTTAAGGGGTTTCAAGTTAATGCGGGCCGCGTGAGCAAGCACTACGCATACATAAAAATAATATGATTTTTAATGTAAAACCACTTATATTAAAACAGAAATTATATACGAGTATCCATCAAACATTCAAGATTGCACCGCTGATACTGCAGTTTAAGAAACATTTTTAAGTTGACGAAATTCGAAGAATGATATGAATAATCGGATTTGGATATTTCAAATATTTCGGTATAAAGCTCTTACACTCTTGCTCAACTCCGTCATACACTTGCGACATTGAAAAGTTTGGCTGTGACTCTGAAAAATATATTTATATCGGAAAGAGAATGCGAACTCTAGAATTCATTTTTGATTTAATAATATTTCACGATTCATTATTGCACAATATTGTACATATTAGGGAGTGCATTGGAAATGTATTATTAACTGCTGTCACTGTACATATTTCAATTACTGTATTTAGAAAACCATCATCGAAATATTGTGCTGATTGCAAGATTTTTCGCGGGTATTAGAAAAGAAAAGACAATCCAGTTATAATTTTTCATATCTATTCTTAGGAGTGGAAATTCAAATGATTCATTATTGCACAATATTGTACATATTAGGGAGTGCATTGGAAATGTATTATTAACTGCTGTCACTGTACATATTTCAATTATTGTATTTAAAAAACCATCATCGAAATATTGTGCTGAGTGCAAGATTTTTCGCGGGCGTTAGAAAAAAAAAAGACAACCCAGTTATAATTTTTCATATCTATTCTTAGGGGTGGAAATTCAAAACATCATCACGGGTAATGTCTCGTATACATTTAAATAGATACAATACAAATACAAATGAAACTGATGCTATATACCTACAATTCAAGTACAATATGCTTTAGTATCCTCGTTCCATCTACTTGAGCTATGAATGTCAAAAGAGCATCTTCTCTGTGGAGCTTGCTCATGAAAATAAATAAATTTTGACAAAACTACTTTCTGTCAATAAATTCCAGACCTTAACGCTAAGGATAACGCCGGGAACACACTGCTCCACGTGGCTGTCGAGAATGAAGCCCTCGACGCTATAGAGTATTTGTTGCAGCAGTGAGTATTTGACTTTACTTGTCTAAGAAATTTAATGCTTTTAACTTATTAATCCATTAATCAATACTTGAGGTGCTGCTTGAAATGAGCATTTGGTTCTACGCAAGCCCATGGTTGAGTTAATATTTAAAAAAAAGAGAAATAATTATGTCCTATCGTGGGATCCATGTCAGAGGCGATTTTTTTATGATCAAAAAGGTTTTCGAAACGTTTATAAATATCTTAAGAACACATTTATTTATTAAAAATTATTATATATTAAATACAAAAAGAGACAATAAATCATGGCACACACCTACTGGTATATAAAAGAAAGAGATAGCCAGAGAAAGTCGCATGGAGGGGGTATAACGTTTTCTCCTTACGTTACTATTTCTATCAGTCAACTCTTACCGCAAGCCGGGCTAATGAACTTTGTGATAATTACTAAACGTTGCTGGCGATGTTTTGTATCCAAAAAATTTAAGGATTTCCTAGGCTTTTTGAATAATTGTAAAACGTAGATAAAATATACTGTAAATCTTTTCTTAATTTCTGAAATACATTACACACAAGCAACATTTTATTTTATAGCTTAAAAAAACTATCTATATATTAATTAATACGTGAAGCAAAAACTGTGTATCCCTTTTTACGAAAATTGCGCGAATGGAAGAGTATGAAATATTCCATACTTATAGAGAATATAGAGAAGTGCACAATGCTAATATTTTTTTAAATAATGCATAAAAGATACATTAAATCGATAATTAAAACATTACACACACTACATACCATGTATTTGACGCACACATGCATGCATACTATTTATTGTCAAACTTTTGTTCTTGACGTCTGTTGTCAAATTGAGAATATTGTTTTTCTTTGTTAATATTTTTTATAGCGTAGTCTTGGCAAAATTTGTGATTATAGAAGTATAAAATACAATGATAATAGTGTACAAACTTACAATTCCAATTAATTATAGTCGAATTTCGACTACTGCGGGACCTCTAGTATTTATGAATGAAGACAATATTTACGAAGAACAATATTCCCAAAACAAATCACTTCTGATACAGCTTTGAGTTATTGTTTTGTTTTTAACGTACTTCCTATTTGTCGTCGTTGCGTTGCTGACAGTTATTTATCTTTCCTGTCATAAATTTCGATTTTATAACCAGAAATATATATAGCTTTCGTGGGTGCATTTGAAACTTTATATTATTGTTCTAGACACGTCGAAACTTCTGTCCTCAACGAGAAGTGTCAAGCTCCAATACACATGGCAACTGAACTAAATAAGGTAAGGGATGGGTGGTCTTCCAGTTGCTTAAAAATATAAGCCGATATGAAATTCAATTGCCTGTACCAAAATAACAGACTTCATAATAAAAACCTATATAATTTATCTCTCTCTGTGCGTCGTATTCCTCAGTTCTAAGGGTCGTGACCTTTACTGAGCACTTTTGTTAGGACTATGTTCCTCCATTCACTCCTGTCCTCCGCGCAGTGGATAGCGACATTGATGCTGGATTCCAAAGTCGTCTTAATCTGATCGGACCAGTGCATGGGACTACGCCCCCTAGGCCTCTTCTTTCCACTTTGCCGGTGATGAGAAGTTTTTCGAGATTGTCACCCTTTTCCCCGCAGCGTGACCAAAAAACTCTAAAATTCTACGTAGGCAAATGTTGGAGAGTCTTAAGGAGACGCCTAGTTCTTCCAGGATAATAATTACTTTATACTGGGTGATAAAAGACCATGTATGTTTCGGCCAAGCGTAGTACCGAAAGATGCAGATATGTAGTACCGTCTGTTTGGATTTCAGATAGCCAGTATAATTAGGTTAAGGCTAGATGTCGAAACATAATCTACCTTGGCATGATTTATTGTTATTAAAATGGAGTAAATGCGATTCAACTACGTCTAACTAATCATACTAACGGCCCATAGCATGTTGCCAACCTGCGCAGCTTAATACAATCCTACTAATTTAAAAAAAATTAAATCTATTTCATCTACCTCCATTTCATGTTCATTGTAAAAATGAAGACTAAATTACGACAGAAACAACGTAATTTGTACATTATATCCATCACATTTAATTTATAAATATGGCCGTTTGCGATTTGTGTTCTTGAGGATATTCACTAGCTTCATTAAAAGTTAATTGTTCTCCACAATTATTTTAGAGTTGTAACCCTCAAGAATCTCGCCAAACGCAATCCTTTGCAAATTTATTGTTTTAGGCTTTCGTTAGCCACGCAGACAATTAAAACGGACTTCTATCTAATTTGTGTTTTAACATCTTTAGATGTTTTTCGTGCACCGCATTTAGATTAATTTGTAGTCGAAGCAGCTGGTGTACAAACCATAATTAAATTCATAACGAAAAATCCGAACACCTCTCAGGTCTGGACAGAAATCAAGAAAATCACCCTTTGATTTATTATAGACGCCAACAGCTATTTCTAATCTTTTTTATTTATTGCTTAGATGGGTGGACGCGCTCACAGCCCACCTGGTGTTTTTTTTTTTTTTTTTTTTTTTTTTTTTT